CAGTCCAACGGGATTGCTCCGCGCATTGGGCCTGTGCTTCGGCAGTCTGTATGCGTCCGTTCACTTCCTCGACTGCAGATAAAACCACCTCCTATCTCGCAAGACCAGAGGGGCACAAGGGGGATGGGCGGGTTCAGGGGGTGGATAATTCATAGTGGAAGATGTCGACGCTAATCGCGTCCGACGCGTCGACATTGTGCCATGTCAAGACATGGCGAGCAACAAGAGCAGTCCAGAGCCGCAACGGGGATGGAATGAGGGAGTTGTGAGGAAAGGACACGAAGGAAGTCGCGTTGCCTTTATAAGCTGAGACACGAAGGAGGGGGGCTGGAAGCGAAGAATTTGGGTGTTCGGGAATTGGCCTGTGTTCTCCTTGGCGTTGGCCCATGCAGTCGCGTCATCGAAGCGAATGGAATGATGAACGACACCCACCAGCACAGGGGCGCGTTTCAACTCTCGCAGATACGCGACATGGTGAGTTCTGCAGTGCAGGCTGTCGTTATGGATAGCTATTAACACGTGATAGCCGCCTAAACGCCGTGGTCCTCCCACCAAGGCGCCGCCTGTCAAACGCCCCTCGAAGCTCGCGAAAGAGAACGGCATCACCGCGGCGCAAGAGGCGGAAATTCGCGAAGCATTCGGTCTTTTTGCCGTGTCGCATCCCGAACATGAAGACTCCAAGGAGGGCGTGTTGAAGAAAAGCGATGTGCGCAGAGTTCTGATGTAGGTCATGCGAATGCGCCCGAGAGCAGCGCGCCCATGCTAACGATTGCAAAGCTCGCTGAACCTCACACCCGACAAGTCAGAGATGTCGTCTATCTTATCCACCATCGACCCTCTCAATACAGGATACGTCGAATTCGTGCCCTTTCTCTCTTATGCTGCGATCGCCATACACTCGAAAGAACAAGGGTCTGACGAAGAGGATGACGACGAAGACTTCCAGGAAGAGAGCAACGCGGAAGAAGTCAGCGCGGCATACAAGCTGTTCACACACGGTGCTGCGGGACCGATAACGCTTGGGCATCTCAGGAGGGTAGCGAAGGAATTGCGAGAAGATGTGCCAGACGAAGTCTTGAAGGATATGATCATCGAGGCCAACGGTGGGGTCAAGGGTCAGGAGAAAGACGTGGGAGGGGTTAGTCTCGAAGACTTTGAGAGCGTCATGAAGAGGGCTGGACTATCTTTCGGTTGAAGCCTCGAGGCAACATGCGCGACTCACGGAACGCTGCCCTGCACGATCATTGCGAAGCCCTTACGAATCCCACTATCGAACGCGCTCACGGCGACCCTTCAAGACCTCTCGCGAAAGCATTCTAGCTTCTCGACCTCCCAGCGCTCCACCCTGACCGTCTTCTCCATGCTATGCAGACGATACCCCGCCAATGAGCGCACTCAATCATCAGCATGGGAGGCTGGTATACAAGGGACGAAGCAGTGAAGCCATGGTTTGAGATAGATCACATATCGGGGGAAGATATCTACACGGATCAGGAGATGAGATGTTCTAAAGGAGGAATATACGGTCACAATATATCCATAGTGTATCTGTAGCATAATCGAAAGATACCACGTCGTCTCGACTTGACTGCGATGCCAAATATAGCCGCGCCGATAAGCCGGCGCGATTGGATAGTGGCGCGGCAGGGCTGAAGTGGAAATGTTTTGCCAAGATTCAGGGACCTCACTCAACAAGCACACGAACACGCATGCAGCGGGCTTGCGTAACGCCAATCGCAATTTCACCTCGTCTCCTACTGCTCTGAACAGTCACTCCTGTTGTACGTCGCCTTAACTGTGTTCACATTGCCACACGTCCCCGACTAACCCAGTTCCAGCTCAGCTCAATGACCGCGCCCTAAACTTGGACCCTTTTCTCCCCTCGTGTCGCCTAGTCCCATGTCCAGTGGAGTTGAGGTCCCCGGAAGCCAACGACGTCCCGGCATCTGGTCCTACTTTAGTTTCACTGGCCCACGCCGCCGCGTCTCCGTCTCCCTACCACGCAACGTCGACCCCAATCGCGACGCCAGCGACCCCAACGCCAAAGCTGACCGACACTCGCGCCATCGCTCCACGTATTCGGACGCATTCATGAACGACCACAAGGGCAGCGCCGTCATGAATCAAGGGCAGCGCATGCGCTACCTGAAGACAGGTGGCGTCATTGCTTTCATACTGCTTGTGTTATATTTCGTCGCACCGCGCGATGGCATCTCAAAACCGGCAGGTAGGTTGGGGACAGACGCTGGAAGAGACACGTGCTAACACCGTCATCAGTATCTCGTCCAGCAGGCGGCAACACAGCAGCTGGCGACGCAAAGGCCGAATGCACAAAGTCCTTCTCCAAGGACAAGCCGCTCATCCAGTATGCCCTCATGATCGACGCCGGCAGCACCGGCTCCCGCATCCACGTCTACAAGTTCAACAACTGCGGTCCCAGCCCCGAACTCGAGAGCGAGAACTTCGAGATGACACCCAAGAGAGATGGAGGCTCTGGTCTCTCGGCATATGGCGACAACCCAGAGGCGGCTGCCAAGAGTCTGGACGTGCTCATGGACGTTGCGCTGAAGAACGTGCCCAAGGAATACCAGTCGTGCACACCCGTCGCTGTAAAGGCAACGGCCGGTCTCCGCAAGCTCGGTGAGCAGAAGAGCAACGCCATTCTCGCCGCCGTGCGCCACCACCTCGACAACGACTACCCGTTCCCGCTCGTCTCGGAAGAGAAGAATGGCGTCGAAGTCATGCCTGGCGAGATGGAGGGAGTATACGCATGGATCACAGTCAACTACCTTCTAGGCAAGATTGGCGGCCCGGATAAGAACCCTACCGCCGCTGTCCTCGATCTCGGTGGTGGCTCTACCCAGATCATCTTCGAGCCCACCTTCCCCGACACTCCCCGCGGCGGACTCCCCACAGAGCTGGCAAAGGGCGACCACAGATACGAGCTCGACTTCGCCAACCAGAACTTCAATCTCTACCAGCACTCTTACCTAGGCTACGGTCTCATGGAAGCCCGCAACAACATTCACAGCACCCTCCTCGCTGGCCTCCACGAGAACAACAAGGACAACAAGGAGTACCTCCAGAAGCCCATCGTCAACCCTTGCATCGCCCCTGGCATGACACGCGAAGTCGAGGTGCAAATGCCCAAGGGTCACGCACTCGGCGACTCCGTGACAGTCAACATGACCGGCCCTGCCACCGCCTCGCCCACCCAATGCCGCGGTCTAGCCGAGAAGACCCTCCACAAAGACGACGAATGCGCCATCGCACCCTGTGCCTTCCGCGGTGTCCACCAGCCGCCTTTTGAGCAGACCTTCGCTTCCGAAGCCGTATACCTCCTCTCTTATTTCTACGACCGCACCCAGGACCTTGGCATGCCCGAGTCTTTTACCCTCCGCGAGCTACAAGATCTAGCCAACAAGGTGTGCACCGGCGAGAAGGGCTGGGATTCTTTCAACGCTGTGCCCAAGGCTATTGAGGAGCTCAAGGGTAGGCCTGAGTGGTGCTTGGATCTCAACTTCCAATATGAACTGTTGAGGAGTGGGTATGGTATGCCGATTGATCGTGAGGTCAAGATTGCAAAGAAGATTAAAGGTAATGAGCTGGGATGGTGTTTGGGTGCTAGGTGAGTTTTTATAGCCATTTGCTGAAACAGTGACAACTTTTGCTAACGTAGTACAGTCTCCCACTTCTTGAGGCGAACTCAGGATGGCAGTGCAAGATTAAGCAGGTCCAATAAGTGCGTTCTTTTATACGACGCTTTTGCCATGCTAAAAGACGATGCCTGATGCCTTGTTCTCTTGGACATCTCTGTCGCGATATGCATTAATCGGCGTTCTTTCTGGGTACGGTTGTGAGACGAACATGTCAAGTCTCCAACAAGACCAATGACTAGCCGCAAGCCTAGGTGTTGATATAGACCGTAACGAATACCATCATTTTTTCGCATCGAACTTCAAAACACGTGCTTCCTTTTAGTGCTGAGACCGATATGTAACGATCCAGTGAGCATGCGACGGAACATTCTCCGTAGACTTTCCAGTGATGGCCATCCTAGTCCGTAAATCCATGTAGCGGTCAGCTTTTAGAGCGGGCTCCCAGGGAAATTAAACCTTATTGCTTACTCGCCCAGCCGGGCAGATATCCCCACGGTGTGGATCCGAGATCTTTGTTCCGTATTACTTCCACGCGTACTGTCGATGAACCGAAACTTAATAAGGCGGTGGGATGTCTAGTCGGATCCGTGGACGTGTATAACCTCTTCGGTCGGCCGTCGTTGCTGCACTTCACTCAAGGTCGTCGCGTTCGACCAGAAAGCTAATGTCTAGTATCAGGTAAAGGCATTGTCAATGCACATGTCGTGACCTTTGCGGTGGGAAAGTTCAGAGTCTAGCTTACCAGCAAGTTCGCTATTCTGTTACTCATTCTCTTCTTGACTGTCTTCCTCCAAAATCCGGACTGGAAACGCGGATCTCCGGGCTTCTTTACCACTCGCCGCACGATATGCCAGCTTCGAAAATGGGTCGGAGACTTGGTGCTTTAACGGGCGCATTTGCTGCGCTTACGACATTGTTTTCTTCAGCGTCCGCGATTCCCTTTGGTGTAAAAATATATTCGTGTACGACGCCAGGAGTTATCGCACCGGCTTTCGACGATGGGCCGTCATTTTATTCGGAGGATATCCTCGACCGGTACGAATATACTTTCACAACCTGGGCACTGGAAATTCTTTTGTTCGTGTGCTGATAATGGGATTTGTAGAATGGGAGCGGCAGGCTTCAAAGCAACGTGGTTCATCAACGGAGATAACATGGGCAATTTATACGACTACAACGCGACGCTACATAGAATGGTTAGCATGGGCCATCAGATCGGATCGCATACGTTCGTCTCCCCCTCCACAAAATTCGCCCAGACAACAACATCAACTAATCCCAATTACTAGATGGAGTCACGCAAATCTCTCCTCCCTCACCCCCACCGCCATACGCGCCGAAATGACACTCCTCGAAGACGCCATGACAAACCTCCTCGGCTTCTTCCCCTACTACATGCGCCCGCCCTTCCTCGCCGCAGACAGCCAAGCGCTCGCTGTGCTCAAAGAACTCGAGTACCACGTCGTCATCGGCGACCTCAATACCAAAGACTGGAAATACCAATCCGCGGATACGATTGGGGAAGCGAAGAAACTGTTTGATTTGGGGCTGGAGAGGGGGTATAGTATTGTTGAGGCGCATGATCAGGAGGAATGGACGCAGGGCGAGTTGATTGATTATATGATTGGGGTTGTGAGGGAGAGGGGTATAAAGAGTGAGTCCGCCCGCATCATCACCCGCTTTTCACACGAACATATACTAACAACCCCACCACAGCCGTGACAGTAGCAGAATGCCTCGGCGAACCCTCACCTTCGCAATGGTATCGCACCGCCCGCCTTCCATATCCCCTCACCAGATCCAGACTTAGCTGCCAAACTCCCTTCGCAAAGTGCGACACAGCGGACGATAGCATTCCATGGGAGAGGATCACTCCCGATTTGACGTGTGGGAATGAGAAAAAGGGGAAGGGGAAGGGGTATATATGCCGGACGGGGCAGTGTTGTAGTAGGCATGGGAATTGCGGGATTGAGGAGGCGTATTGTGCGGTGGATAAGGGCTGTCAAAAGGAGTTTGGTGTATGCAAGGGTTGAAAAAGATCTCGTTGGATTGTTGTCTTTACATAATCCGCGTTATCGTTATTGTCGTTATCTAAATCTTCGTCGCGCCAACTAGCCGCGCCAGACGTCGCGAATACACGCTGAAGGTGCCACTGCAAAGCGAGCAGGCCTAAACAATGAGATTACGAAGTCAGTGTATGTTTCACATGCGTTTTGTACAGGTAAGCTTACCTGGGTCCGGCAAAGGTTTTTGCAGCGGGTCGTCGGTGGACATGATGAATCTATGTCCGCTCTTCAGGAGCTGGCTGCCGTTGGGATCCCTTCGTGCAAACGGGCCGTAGCCGTCGCCAGACTCTGTCCGGTCTTCTGAGGACTCCGGCATGTCCATGAGCTTGGCCTTGGTGCCTTTCTCGCGCTTCTCTATGACCAACCAATGGAACTCTAGTTCCAACTGCTTCTTGTCGTCGGAGATTTGTACGGGGCGCAGCGCGAACGCACCTTGAGTGTGGAAGGTGTGGAGGGTAGAGGTTAGCGAAATCATGTTGGCGACAGTCTCTGTGCCTCTGAAATTCGCATTGTCGTCGACAAAGATCTGACCAGACCATGCGTCTACGTCTTCCGCCTTCCAAAACGTGCGAAGGGTGCCAACGTAGATCTGTCTGGTCGGCGTAGAAATGGAGTGGACGAGGTTGGTGACATTGGAGAGGGAAGAAAAGAGTCTTGACGGCGCTTGACGCGCTTGTGAGGAGGTGACACTAGGTAGAACTGTTAGAAACTTGACATGTACAGTCATGTATGGGGTTTATAGATAGCGTTCATCTGAACGCACGATCTTCGGATGTATCCTCGAGCCCGCTGGCTGGAGGGTGATTCAGGGAGTTGTCGGATCCAGCCGTCAACATCCCGAGCGGGCACGCCATCCGCATCATCGTCGTCGTCGTCATCGAAAGCTTCTTCGCGCCAACCAGCTGCGCCAGACATCGCGAGGATACGTTGGAGGTGCCACTGCAGAGCGAGCAGGCCTAAAATTGGGTCACGAAGTCAGTGTATGTTCCACATACGTTGTGTACAGGCACCTCATACAAAGGGAAAAGCTGAACAGGTCTGCATCCTACATCAACGTATAAAGCTGCAAAGGAGGTGGCCCAAGGTTGATGTAGGCTCCAGACCTGTTCATATTTTTCTAGATTGACGTGCAGGTACAGCTTACCTGGGGAATCTTGTCGAAGGCTGCTTGCCGTTCTTGTGACCGCATACCGAATCGCTCTTCGTCGCTCTCCGGTCTGACGCTCGTCCATCCAAAGTTCGTGGCGTCCATAGTAATGTGTATAGTGAACTTGAGAAAAGAATAAGCGGACTCGACTGTGCTCTGTAGAAAAGCTTGTGTCCTAAAAGTCGGGTACCAAAAAGATTAACGCTGACGAATGATTGAAAGCTCGATCAGAACGGAACGGTACCTTTTGTTTTGTTTCGCGAGCGAGGACCAGGCATTTTGGACACGCAGCGTGTAATCAGTACCGGTGAGCAGATTATGCCACCAGCGGACATGTCGACGGCCCGTCGCATTGTTTCTGTTCGTAGAGTGTTGTTGTGGTTGTAGACAGGTGAGTGCACGACTGGACGGCTAGGGAAGCCATGTAATGACGCCATGACGCCATCGCCCGAAAGGTAGCCGCCCCTGGTACCTAGGTGGTAGGAACGACGCGCAGACACACTAGGATACAACTGCGAGCGTAAGTAACACAGGGTATCTTCCATACAGTCTATCAAAATGATTAGCAAAATGCTAATATGCTAGTTTTATACAAAAGCCCGCCCGCACTCACCCAGAAAGACTCGCTCATCCCACATCCTTGGTATGCTATCCGCATTTATGGTCGTCGTCGTTATCGAAGTCTTCGTCGCGCCTACCAGCCGCGAGCCTACGTCGCGAGAATACGCTGCAGGTGCCGTTGCAACGCACATCCTGGAGCCTACATCGACCGTAGGTAATCAAAACTACACGTTTCTATGTTGATGTAGTCTGCAAACGTGTTTGGTTATCTTCTCGTGTAAGGTATGTATTTGTGTAGCGCTTGAGTGGCCAATGTTCTTTTTCTCAATTGGTAAAAGGTCCTTGATCGAAAAACCGCGCGCTATGCTAACACTGTCGATAAGTTGTGGACAGCTGTTCTTGCCGTACAAAACTAGGCCACGAGCCTTTTAGAATAGAAGGACGTCATCGAATATACTGGAAGGTCCTTGTTCATACAGCCGAAGAGAAACAGGTCTTCTGCGTGCCAATGTACGCCAAAGTATCTCCACTGGAGTAGATGAAGAGCCGTCTCTTTGTAATCGCAGTTCCTGAACGCCTGACCGATCATCGCGTGTTCGCGTTGACCATCTCCTTCGCTTCTAACGACTACCATCATGGGGCTTCCGTCGCTCAGAAATCCTTCTTCACTGAAGAGCACCCAGTCGGACGGTCTTGTTTCTGCTGGTGCATATGCAAACGGGCGTTGCATGTGATCCAATATTTCTACACACACAATCTCCGAGTTGGATCCGCGTATCGTTGTCTGCGCTGAGCAATACAAGTAGTGGAGTGATATGCCACCTGGTGCAGGGAACTCCTTCGCCATACTAGTACTGCCAAGCAACTGAACCCCACGCCACATATCTCGTGGATGAATAATACAGTCTCGATACCACGTTGTGCGTTCATGGTCCAGCGCTGAACCCGGAAGGTGTACCAAATGATGACTTAGAGAGGGACTGGAATATCCAATAGGCTTGGGGTGAAATTCCGTGTTGTCCACGGACGGGAAGTTCTTCGGCATGATCTGACTACCAAAACGCTTGGTGATCGCTAGTCGTATTGCTTGATCCTCAATATTGACTTGGAAAAGATTCCATAGCCGACGAGGCCACTCAACTGCCACTCCGAAAACTGGCTCGGTTCCAAGATTTTGGAGATATAATTGTAGTACCTCGATGGCGACTTGGTAGTTGTCCTTGCTGTAGTCTGGTACAGGAGGTTCGCCACTGCCCCAATCAATTAGAGCCTGAACACCGAACAGTCTATCCCGAACGTCCGCGCACTGGAAGCTCTGCATGGCGTCCAGTACCTCTGCCAACCGGCGGCGTCCTCGCACACCGGAAGCAAAGGTGAGACAGCCGCGTTGAGGTCCTATCTTGTGAAAGCTTTCTTCCAATGTCAAGCATGAGTTCCGTCGGCGCGAGAACCACGGTAGCAGAGAATATTTGTCTGTGATCTCTGAGTCCTCATTACTTACGTAGTCTTCCTGGTGGGGATTGCTGATCCAGAAATCTATTATGGTACTCACAGTCAGGATGTCGGCGAACGAACATCTGTCCATGCCACAGCAAAGCGTTGCATTTGGAGCCAGATAGAGTTCCTGCAAAATCCAGACTCTCGAAAAATATGGACGGTTCATGAAATCGATAAAAACAGTCGCTAGCGCTTCCCTCCCATGAGGACTGAAGTCCCCAATCTTTGAGATCAACGACCGGTCGCTCTTCCGGATAGGATTGGGCATCACCCAGTAGCTTTCTTTTCTTGTGGTAAGCCTAAGGATGAACTGGTTAATCCTGGCCAGAAGGGTTTTATTCTCATCGATAATGCGAAACAAGGACAGGCTATCGTCCGTGTGAGGCCCGACATATGCGAACACGTGTTTCGATCTTCCGTATATTTGACCCATCATTCCAACTTGATGACTCTTTTCTTGTGTAGTATCTTGATCAATGCAAAGAGCATCTATCCAGAAGTATCGCCCCACGTCGGAAGAATGGGACGAATGCGCCTGTTCGAGTGCATAGACGCAATTTTGGCCGACAGTGAAAAGGCCCCCGTTGATGAAAATGTGACGGCTTGGGGTTGGTGAGCCCCAGGTATACCTGAGAAAGTGACCAATCAGTACCTAGGTATGAAGCGCGTAACCGATGTGCTTGCGGATGACGTACGATATAGCATAATACTCGGGAACCACTGCGACAGGCCAGGTAGTTAGACCACAGTCTAGGTCACCATTGGAATGGATGCACTCTATCTCTAGCAAGCGCATGTGCGTAGTGGGATCTGGAAGAGGTTCGTGCTTAAACCTTTTTGCCCACGGTTTTCTTCTGGTGAACAGTTCATCCATGATCTCTAGATTGTATGGGTGATAACCAATGTACTAGTGAGAGAACGAGGACTGGATTTATTCCCTCAAATATTGTGCCTGTCAGTGTTGCGAGCGAAGATCAGGCGGGCGCATGAGAATCAGCGTGCGTTCCATGCCGGTGAAGAGGTTCAGCCTGATGGGCTTGGCGTTGCTGCGCAGCGCAGCGCAGCATGCAGAAGGATCATGATCAGCGATGGTGGAGCCAATGAAACGAAGATGCGACTCTGACTGCTGAGGCTGAGGGCGGGTTGGCGAGGCGTGTTCACGGATGATACATAGCAGACGCGATCCGAGGTTCCTAGAAGGCATGCGATAACGCTGCTGCCAGACAAGGCAGCCACATCCCGCAGCCCCACATTCGCGAAGGGAGAGCTTTAATCAATGTCAGATCCTTCCGGACCTGACAGAAACCTACATACAAAAATCAAAGCGGGGACGTAATACGGGGGTATCTTCTATACAGTCTATCAAAATGAATCGCCAAATGCCAGTACGTTGTGTCCATGCAAAAGCGGCTCTAGCAAGCCCGATAAGGCTCGCTCACAATAATGCCCTACCAACACGAAAAAGAATCTATACCATCATACCAACAACCTAAAAAGACCCAATGTTCCCCTTACTATACATAGTCTGCCTCCTCTTATGATGCATCCCCTGCTGTCCCCTAACCCCATTACTCAACCCAATCCCATCACCCAAAATCCCATTCCCACCAACCTTGCCCTTCCGCACAGCCCGCCTCTTCGCCTCCCTCCTCTTCAGCTTCCCACTCCAATGTCTAATCTTGCGCAAGATACGATCAGCCATGAGCACCAGTAAGGTAACAACCATAACCGGCACTGCAATAACCCAGAAAAAGGCATCAGAGTGGTGTTGCACGCCGTTGAAGCGCTCGAAGTTTTGTCCGAAATATCCGACGAGGAAAGTAAGCGGGAGGAAGAAGATGGTTACGGCGGTGAGGATTTTCATGGATTCGTTTTGGAAGGCACCCATCATGTTGAAGATTAGGTCGATGAGGTTGTCGGCTGCGCGACGCATTTGGTCCAGGGAAGCGGTGATCATGATGCAGTGGTCCTCCACATCACCGAGGTACGTGTGTGCGAGGGGGCTGATGTTGATTTGCGTCATGGTTTTGCGGGTAGCGAGGTTAGCGGTACTCTGGCTCATCATGGTGGCTTGGGCCATGGGATCAGCCTTGTGATCACGCAGAGAGTTGATCAAGGACACAATGGGCTGGATGGTGTTGCGGAGGATGGAGAGTTCAGAGGTGAGCAGGTAGAGGAGCTGGGAGTGGTGCAGCTCGGGGTCTTCGAGGACGTCGAGTTCGAGCTCGCCCATGGCGTCTTCGTAGGCGGCTACGACGGGGATGGCGAGATCGACTATGGCGTCGATAATGGCTTGCACTATCATGCTGCTGTCTTGGCTGCGGCGCAGGATGGTGTCTTCGGTGCGGAGACGCTTGAGGATCATGTCTTCGACGTCGTCGGCCGAGTGCTCGAAAAAGGAGATTACGGAATTGTCGGCGAGAAGGAAGATGCTGACTTGCTCGACGCTGACGGTCAGGTGCTTCTCGGTGAGGGCTGAGTGCTGCTCAAGGTATACGATTCGATCGAGATTGTAACCGCCACGGTAGCGTTGGAGGGTGCGTACGGCGGTGGTGGCGGGTGGGGTGGATATCTTGACCTTCTCGAAGGGCGTGTCGTCGAGTTGCTTCTCTAGGTTGTCCAATGCGCTCATCATCTCATCCTTGCGTACCTGCTTCTTGGCTTCGCTCTTGGGGAAGAGCAGGTTCTTCGCTTTCTTGTAAAGCGACTTCTTCTTTTCTTTCTTCTTCTGAGGGTGCCGGGAGCGGGAGCGGGAGCGAGCCTTGTGCCGTCGTCGTTCGCTGTCGTCGGAATCTGAGTCGGAGTCGCTCTCGGAGTCCTCGTCCATGGGCGTCCGCACGAGTTTGGACAGCGTCAGGAGCAAGAAGGCCTGATCGGAGTACCAGTCCACCTTTGTCCTACTTTGGGTGCTCATCAAATCCTCAATGGCCAGCCTGTGCAGGTTCTTGTGGTTTCCCAGGGAACGAATCACGTCCCAGGACAGGCCATTGACGTTGATCCACCGGCATGCCACCCAGTCTTCCTTTGGGTAGTTGAGGAAGTCCTCC